GAGACGTGGTAGCGCATCGAGCTCCGGGCTCGACGCTGGAAATTTCGTCTGGTACGATGCCACTCGTTGTGCTCGCTTTACCGCCACGCGACTGGTGCGCGTGAGCTGTGCGCGTGTGGCTTGGACGGCGCACTACGAAAGACAAGCACGACCGGCCATTGAGGTCGCTTACTCGCACGCGCATCGTCGGCCACTTGCCGCGGAGCTGCGGCAGTCCATAGTTCTGCAACTGCCGATGCAACGGCCGCAACGGTCGGCGGGTTCGTGTCGAAGATACGAAGATCCGGATTTCGAACTTCGACGAACTTCGAGTGTTAGATTCAATTACTTCAATTTAGACCAATGCCTGGTCTCCGGCCTGTGCCGTTTAAATAAAATCGACCAATGCCTGGTCTCCATTTCCGAATTATAGCCAATGCCTAGTCTCTATTCCACCCACATCCTACGAGGTAGTCCCCAGGTAGTCCCCCCATCAAATACTTGGCGCTCGCCTTGGACCGATAATTATACGCGCAGTGAGCCCTCGTCAACACGCAGAGTCCCACGTCAGCAAGATCGGTCCATGCGTTCAAGACATTTCGGCAGCACGCCCGATAGCGTATTGCCGCCTCCCCCGCCTTTTGCTGCGCCAAGGCCTGGTGGCGCCAACCTTGTTTTTATATAATAAATAGCGCTTTCTATTATCGATATCACTCTCTAAACCAGACATGATTGGCTGCTCTCAATGCACTTTCCAAAAAATGACGACGGCGTACGAGGACGCGATCGCGCACCTTGGTGCGCCCGGCTCGTTCGTCGCAATCGGCACGATCCGGAAGCGCGTCTCATGTGTGATCCGGATCCGAGGCATCAACGAGCCGCTGACGTGGCCGCTCGAGAGCGCTCAGGCCAAGCAGATTCGCGACGTCTATCCCAACAAGATCATTCCGGCGGCCGCCATGAACATCGTATTCTTCGGCATGGGCAGCATGCTCACGGAAGCTTATAACGACACCGAGACTGAGCTCGGTCTCTCCGGCTACGCATTGCATCGTCTCTCGCACATGGTGCTCGACGACGTCGGCGACAGCGACGGCCTCCGCTGGATCCCGACAACGGACTTTGACGATGATCCAGAAAACGATCGCATTGCGGAACGAACGATTGGAACGCTCGTCTTCGTGCTGCCGTCGGCGTACACGGGTGGCGTCCTCACCTACTCGCACGGCGAGAGCACGGGCCGGACGCTGGACGCAAGCCAAGCCGTCCGCAAGACGCCGTATGCGGCTGCGTTTACATCGACCACCATCGTCTCCGCGCCCATCACGTCTGGTTGCCGCGTCGCGCTCGTCTATCATATGTACTACAAGGATGTGCACCCGCGCATGCGCGTGGCGCCAGTCGACCCGGACGCCGGCATCGCGGCGCAGACGGCGCTTCGGGCACTCGCACAAGCAGCGACGCGGCCCTACCAGCTGCTGGCCATGCCTCTACTGCCTCTCAATGGCGAGGTCTGTTTTGGGAACCTCACCGCCCACGACTACGCGGTTGTGGATGCGCTCGTCGCCACCGACTGCTTTGACGTGGCGCTCGCCACCCTCGACGACCGGCTGGTGACCGAAGAAGATGTATCCGAGTACGGGACAGAGTATGCCGTCCGCACGACGCTCTATCTGCACCGCGCGTGCAGGTCCAAGTTGGGCAATCTGTCCTCCGATGCGAAGGAGGCGTATAAACCACATGCGTACTTGTACCACCGGCCCGAATGGCAACCGCCGGTCACCGTCCTCGCGTTTTGGCCCAAGCGCCATCGTGCGTGGCTTGTGCACGGCGACAACCTCGTCGACATGGTTGTCTCCAAACTGACGGCGCCACGCAGCGGCAACGTCCCTGACGACCTCCGCGAGCTCGGGCTTGCGGCCATCTTTGCCTACCACAAAAAGGGTACTTTGTTTTGTACGCGTGCGCTCACACCATGGCGTGTATAGAAAGCGATTTTGGGTCGTTGTGGGGCTGGAGTGACAAGGGACCTCTCTCGCCACTCGAGAAGATTCAGCTCATTCTATACGCGCTCGACGACGACCTTGATCTCACCGCCTCCTTCGTTCGCGACGTGCTTGCTCTCGGGTATAGCATTTCTGTTGCCAACGTCGCCATCTGGCTCCACGATCTCTTGACGACGTTTGGCTGGGAACCATTCTTGCCGGCGATGCTCGGACTCGTCCACCGCTGGATGAAATACAATTCGACCGCAGCTCTTGAGCTGCTCACGAGCTTGGCTGGCCTCGTCAACGACGACAAGGCGGTCTGTCCACCACTGCGACAGCCGCTCCAAGCCGAGCTCTTCAAGCGGTGTTATGACGTCGTGCTGGCGACGCCTGGCCTCGTCCCGAAATTGTTCCGCTCCGAGGAAGGCTGGTACGGCCACGGCCCGGACTTTCTCAAGAACGTCCTCTTGCTCGAGCATTATGTGACAACGACGGCACCGCAGCTCGGTGAAGCCAACTACGTCGGTCATCGCCTGCCGCCGGTGCTGGTCGCTGCTGTCGATAGCTACGTATTTGCACCTCGCCCGTCGATCATGGACATGCTACCAGACTCTGCCGCCAACATCATCAGCGACATTGCTGTCGGTCTTGCCTCTGCGGCAGTGTGCCAGCCATCGCTGCCACTGCCATCAAAGGCCATTGATCGTATTCTACGCGCAGTGACCGATCCAGACCTTGACTGGTACTCGATGCGACGCATCCGTGTGGATGGCATCCAGAGCGTCCTCTACTTGGCGCTCGCGACCAACCGAGTCGACGCGGCGCTGTTTGAGCAATGTGTTATCCTCTGGGACCCCAAGTTGCTGCCAGCGCTGCGGACTCTCTGCGCCACGCAGTGTCCCAACTTCAGCACAATATCGCCTCTCGTGATTGCGTACATCCGCCGCTTGCCAAAGTCGCTCGTTACACCCGACTGTTGGCGCTCCAGCTGGTATACAGACGACGAGAAGATCTACAAAGATGCGTCCGTCGCGATTGGTGTCCTGCTCTTGCTCGATGCGATCGACCTCCTCCAGTGGCTCTCGCCCACGACTGTTGTCCCCTTCCTTCGGGCGTGGCTTGCGGCGCTGCCAAGGACGCTCGAGGCGACGCACTCGCTCCTGGCGCCGGTAGTGATGCATGGCCCGACAGTCAAAGTGCTGTGGCGCTTGGCAAGCCAGCTCATTGCGCGCTTTGAGGCGCTTCCGAGTCTCCCGACGTACGTCAGCTTTGCGATGTGCGACATCAAGCTCGAGCCGGCGCATTGTACGCAATGCCGTGAAGTGCACAAGTTTCTGCAAAGCCCTGATGATGCCGAGCTCATTCTATACCACTGTGGTCTGTGCAATGCGATCGTCCGCGTCATCAACGCCCACTCGACCCGTCTCGCCTCGCCTCCACACAGCTACGATGGATATTCCCGTACCATTTTGAAGCGGCCCCAGCCTGGCCAAGTGACGGAGACCGAGTGGAAGGCACACGTGGTCGCCATCCAGAGAATGGCCAGCACAGCCACCGTTGTCGCCACTGTCAAGGAACGACTGCGGTTGGCCAACGACGAGAGAAAGACGACCAAGCACCCGTGTCAAAGCGACCCCGGCAGCATCACGAGTAGTTCAAACCCACGAAGCACATCATCATTGCATATTATAAAGACAGGCCGTGCCTTCGTGTCCTTTGCTGTTTTGGCGACCACCATTCGATTTTTTTAGAGCGATCACTACACTCGTCAGGACCGCTGCCTCTGTACGGTGCTTTTCGAGCTCGGCCACTGAGATTTGGCCACGATATATTCAATAGGCGGTAGATGTCGACCGAAGGTGTCGATGCGCTTGACACAGCAAAACCAGATCTGCCAACAACGTGAGCTCGTCGGCCCGACGCTTTTCCTTCATGTCGAGGCTGCCCAAGACGCGTTTCGGCGGTGATGGGCACGTGCGCTGGCCATTTTGCTGATGTTGTAGCGGTATGTTCAGAGACTTCGCAGTAGCACTGCGCAAGGCTCAACCCAGGCAAGAGCACAACACGAGCTTAGCAGCGCACAAGCCTGCAAGGCCGGTGGAAAGGGAGCGTCAAATGAAGCGAGAGCGAGATTCCGCCACTCAAAAACCACCTTCTGTGAGAGTATATGACATGGGCATCATCGATTCTTAAAGGCCATCGTTGGAGATACCTGAGACGAATGCGGCGTCTCTCTCATGTGCGTATTCTGGCGCCTCCATGGAGTAGACGGGGTGTATCCGAGTCAGCGTCGATCCTTGCACCCCCCAAGCTCAAACGTGAATTGTAGCCAATCATGTCCTGTTTATCGAGCTCTATATATAGACTTGCTATTTAATAAGCCGACGCCGATTGGGTGCAATGCAATCAGGTTGCACTTTCCAGCCATGAGCGCCTACGAGACGGCGTACGAGCTCCTTGACGCCCCAGGCACGTTTGCAACGATTGGCACGTTGAAGAACCCATCGCCGTTCCTCTTTACGCTCCGTGGGATGGACGAGCCACTCGCGTGGCCGCTCTGCAGCGCGCAGGCGCGAGAGATCGCAGCGCTCTTCCCCGACACCAAGATCATCCCGGCGTGTTGAACGAGCGGTACCGTGATGGCCTCGACGACATCTTGCAGGAGGCGCACGAAGCGTGCGAATCCAACTTGGTGCCATCGGATGCCTTCTACGTGAATCTCTCGCACATGGTTCTCGATGACGACGGCGACAGCAACTGTCTTCGCCCCTTGCCCGCCGCCGACGAGGACGAAGCCGCGCGGACGTTTGGCACACTCGTCGCGCTTCTTCCGTCGGCGCACGCAGGAGGCGTCGTGACCTTCTCCCATCGTAACGAGACGCAGCGATTCAACGACGATGCCTCGTTGCTGCATGCAGCGTACGCTACCACGTTTCTCTCCACGTCCATCTCGTCCTCGCCCATCACATCTGGTCGCCGCGCCGCGCTGGTCTACCGTGTTGTCTATGTCGCTGTGCACTTCAACATGCGCTTCAACCCGCCCGTGCAAGATGCTGCGATTGCTGCGTTTCGAGCGCTCGGTCTCTCGGTGACGGAACCGCACCACCGGATCGGTTTCGACGTCACATTGCCAGAGGTGCTGCCAATGTATGGCATTGACGGCGAGCAGGGTCATGTTTATTTCAATTGCTCGATGAGATGCCCAGAGCTCTCGTGCACGCTTTGCTTGCGACGGGCTGCTTTGATGTCGGCCTTGCTGCTTTTCGCAAGTCCAACAGGAACGATAAAGTCGTGAGCAAGCTTTGTCCGCATCCCGAGTGCGACATGCCGCCGTCCGTCGTCGCTAGCTGGAAAAGTATCCAGTGGTTTCTACAACTTCAGTCCATCGACCAAGACACCGTCGAGTGCCCGGAACACGCCATCGTGTTTTGGCCCAAGCGTCACCGGGCGTGGCTCGTCGGTATCGCCGACGCCCTCGCGTTCGTCGCCTCCCATTTCGCTGCAGCCCAGCCTCGTGACAGCAACCTCCTCGGTCTCGCAGACCCGCGCGAGCTTGTCATGGCTGCCATGTCGGCTTTTAACGTCCAAGACCGCAATTCTGGCTGGCACGAGTCCTCTGAAGCATTTGCCGCGAGACACAAGCCGTCGCTACTATCGCAGATGCAGCGCATCTTGGTCGCGTACAACGACTTTGAACTCACAACGACCTTTCTTCGCGACTGCATTTCGATCACGAACGACGTTCCGCTCGCTGAAGTCGCCGTCTGGCTCCATGGTCTCTTGACGACCCATGGCTGGGAGCGCTTCGAGCCAGCAATGCTCGGGCTCGTCCAGCGCTGGATTCGAACGACACCGATTGCGACGCTCCGGCTGCTCACGAGCTTGGCTGGCCTTGACACGGACGACAAGGCGGTGTGTCCACCACTCCTTCAGCCATTCGAGGCCGAGCTTTTCAAGCGCTGCTACCACATTGTACGCGCGACGCCCGACTTCGGACGCAGCCTTTTGAACGCTAAGAACGACTCCTATGGCCGCGGCTCGGACTTTGTCAAGTACAGTCTCTTGCTCGAGCACTACGTGACGACCATCGCGCTGCAACGGGCGGATGCCAACTTTGTGGGCCACTGGTTGCCACCGGTGCTCGTCGCTGCAGTCGACACCTTTCTTTTTCCAGCGCACCCGTCTATCCTCTTGACGCTGGCTACCACGGACGCCGATCCGCTCATGGTCGTTGCGGTCGGCCTGGCCTCAGCCGCGCTCACTGCGCCATCGCTGCGACTGCCAACGACCGTTCTCGATGGCATCTTTTGTGCATTGGAGCAACTGCCACCGCGACGGCCGCGGGAAAAAACCTCGGCCGATCGGGACTTCAACTTGCCCATTCCACAGACCGTCACGAGCGTCGACGCTGTTCGCAGCGTGCTCGTCTTGGCACAGCGAGCGAACCGTCTTGATGCGACTTTTTTTGACACGTGCGTCGATCGCTACGGGCTCTTTATACTGCCAGCCATCCGCCCGTTGGCAAGCAACCAAGTCCACCTCGGCGCCTTGCATTCGCTCGTCGTCGAGTACATCCACCGCTCGATCCATGCGCTTCTCGACAAGACGGCGTGGCCAGACCTCCACGAAGTCGTTGCGTACCGTCAGCACGGCGGGCGATCCGTGTCCATGGGCGTCCATCTCACGCGCGAGGCCGTCATGCTTCTCCAGTCCTATGCACAAGACAGCGTCGCGTCATTTGCGACGGCGTGGCTGAAGGCGCTACCGACGGACATCCGCACGACGCACAAGCTCCTCGTGCCCCTCGTGGACCTTCTGCCGCGCAACGTGGCGGCGTATCGACTGCTGGCGGCGGCGTCCATTGCTCGGTTCGACGCGACGCCGCCGCTTTCACCGGTGGTGGACTTTGCACTGCGCGACGTGGCTCTGGACCCGACGCACTGCAGTCAGTGCAAGACAACACGAACCTTCTTGGACGACCCAGCCAATAACGTGTCCGAGAACATCGCGATGTCGTGGGCAAGCCCCGAGCAGTGCCCAAACGTCCTCGGCCTTTTGCAGACCCACGCATCGCGCGTGATCCAGGTCGAGCCCCGGCGCGATTGGCTGGAGGCTTGCAGCTACCGCCTTTTCAAAGTGACCCAGCCCGGTCAAGTTTCGGTGGCCCAACTCGGGAAGCACCGTGCAACGGCAAGGATCCTAGCGAGCGTAGCGGAAGCTGTGGTGCGCTTCAAGACGACACTGCGACGGATCGACAACAATGCAGAAGACCCTTTGAAGCCACGCCCGTCCAAGCGCCATCGCCACGGATAAAGAGTACTTTCAACATGACGTGGCAACGTGAATACTAGTAGAGAGAAATACTCCAGAGTGGTAATACGCACCACCTGGTGACACCAGCCACTGGCGATTACCAAAAGTTTTTGTGAACACGAAAGCAGTCA